CAGAAGTATGAGGATCCACTCCGGATTGCCCAAGAGCTTTTGGGCCGAAGCTGTCAACTGCTGCATACTTGATCAACCGCGGGCCATCCGTGGCTCTCAGTTATGGGATGCCTGAAGAGGCTTGGATCGGAAAGAAGCTGAAGCTAGAGAACTTACGAATATTTGGTTGTGACGCCTATGTCATGACCAATCCTACAGACCGATCAAAGCTTGATCCAAAGTCAAAGAATCTCTTTTTCATCGGCTATGGAGGAGATGAGTATGGGTACCATTTCTGGGATCACGATACGCGCAAGGTGGTGCGCAGTCGTGACGTCATGTTCTATGAGAATGCGGTGTACAAGATCAAAGAGGTGAGTGGGAGTCAGCTATCTCCCCCTCTTTTCCCAGATATTGCTGACAGAGAGGACGGTGGTGAGATACCAATCAGCAAAGAAGACAGAGACCAAGAGAACGTGCGGGATGCACAGCAACAGGATCCAGTAGAGTTGTCGATCGTAATTCGCAAAGCTCCAAGAAATCTAAGGGTGCCAGAGAGGTACCTTTCCACCATGAATTATCTTCTCCTGACTGACAATGGTGAGCCAGAAAGCTATGAGGAGGTACAACAGACCGGCAAAGCTCGGGGCGAGTGGGAGTCTGTCATGGAGGAAGAAATGAAGTCCTTGATAAAGAATGGGACTTGGGAGCTCGTAAAGCTTCCAAGAGAAAGAAAGGCTCTTCACAATCAGTGGATTTATCGGGTCAAGGATGAAGCTGATGGACGGAGACGCTACAAGGCGAGGCTTGTAGTGAAGGGCTATGAGCAGAAAGCAGGGATAGACTATTCTGACGTTTTCGTTCCCGTCGTCAAGTTGACCATGATCTAGACTGTGCTGAGTATTGTGACAGTTTGAGATCTCCATCTAAGACTTGGATGAAAAGATCTATATGCATCAACCAGTGGGCTTCGAGGAACGAGGCAGTGAGGGTCTCGTGTATCGTCTGCACAAGAGCTTGTATGGCCTGAAGCAAGCTCCGTGATAGTGGTACATGAAGTTCGAGAACTTTATGGAGGAGAACGGTTTTCTCAAATACGACACAGACCATTACTGCTTCATCAAGAGATATGGCGAATCCTATGTGATACTCTTGATTTATGTTGATGACATGTTGATTGCAGAACCCGACTTGGTCCGCATTGAAGAACTCAAGGGACGTCTCTCCGAGTGCTTCGAGATGAAGGATTTGGGTTTAGCAAATCAGATTCTAGGGATGAGGATCATCAGAGGCAGATCATCACAGAGGCTGAGGTTGTCTCAAAAAGCCTACATTGAGAAGATTCTTAAAAAGTTCGGTATGGAGAAAGCTAAACCAGTGGGCTCGCCGTTTATAAGCCATTTCAAGCTATCGAAGACACAAGCACCAGAGACTGCTGAAGAGCATGAGTTCATGGCAAACATACCATATGCATCTACCGTTGGGAGTTTGATATATGTGATGGTGTGCACGATGCCAGATATTGCACAAGGAGTGGGAGTTGTGAGCCGCTTCATGAGCAATCTAAGGAAACAACACCGAGGTGCGGTCAAGTAGCTTCTACGCTACTTGAAAAGCTCGTCCGACCGTTGTCTTAAGTATGACGGGGCAGATTTGCAGCTAGAGGGCTTTTGTGATGCAGACTATACCGGTGACATATACTCGAGAAGGAGTACGAGCGGCTACATCTTCATCTTGGGTGGTGGAGCGATAAGTTGGAGATCCAAGCTACAGGATACTGTAGCTTTGTCGACAACCGAAACGGAGTACGTGTCTGCAGCAGAAGCAGCAAAGGAGTTGCTATGGTTGAAATCTTTTCTTCTCGATCTTGGGGTAAGCTTTGAGAAATACTTCATCCACTACGACAGTCAGAGTGTCATTCACTTGTCAGAGAATGATGCATTTCATGCTCGGACCAAGCTTGTTGACGTGAAGCACCATGCCATACGGAGATGGCAAAGCTGGAACGAGTTCAAGCTTATGAAGATTGATATGAGATACAATCCAGCCGATATGCTGACCAAGTCAGTTCCACTCGAGAAAGACTGTGTGCAGCCTCATATGGCCTCCGTTGAAAAATGTTGAGGGCCGTGTAAGACGCTAAAGATACATGACATCCAGATGATGTAACCAAGAGTGGTGTGAAGATATGATCGATATTCAATTAAATCTTCAAGTGGGAGATTGTTAACCACCCCAGCCAATCAAGCCGCAAAGTTTGACCCTCCCCCTCTCTCTCTCTCTCTCTCTCTCTCTCTCTCTCTCTCTCTCTTTCGGTGACCGTTTTTTGAGAAAAATGAAAAAGAATGCGGGTCTCACTAGTTAATTATTATTAGTGGCGGGTCCCACTAATAATATTTTATTAGTGCATAGTATTTCCCAAACACTATAAATAGGGCCCTAAACCCTTAAGGAAAACACATCACATAAACAACTCCTCTTATAGAAGAGTAAGAGAGAAAACACAGAGAGTTTGTGAGAGTTCTTAGAGTGTATCTAATCAAGAGAGAGTGTTCTCTTTGATCTATTCTTTTGGGATATAAAAGAATTTGACATCGTCGTTGCACCATGGAGTAGCTCCGAAGGAGTGAACCACGTATATCTGTGAGTACTGTGTTTAATATTATGCCTTTATTCTGTGTATTACGTCTCCGTTTGAGACGTTATTGTTGGTGTGTATCCTAACATGTATTTCTCTACATTTAACATAATTTAAATTGAGATCACCAGAATTTCGTCGTTCTTTATTGAAATATGAAGATGATGTTTATAGGCATGTCCATCCGGGCCGACCCGGCCCGGAAATCCGGGCCCGGGCCGGGCAAAATCGGAGCCCGGACCCGGGTACCCCGGGCCGGGTTCCGGCCCGGCCCAGATTTTTTTTTTAATTTTTAACAAATTTTTTAAATTTTATTTAAATTTTAAATTATAAAAAAAGACAAAAAAAATTAATAAAAAACAATAATTTTATTAATCACTTAAAATGACATAAATTACAAATAAAAAATTATAAAAATAAATTCTTTATTAATAATTAATAAATCATTTACAAATTACAAGTATAAATTTATTTTGGAATTCATCGCATCACAATAGATAAGTACATCCCAACTAGGTTTTTTTTAATTTTTTTCTTTTCTTTTTTTTTATAAAAAATGCTAAAAATTAGTTTAATATTATTATATTTTATATAATTATGTATTAGTATATACTTACAAATTATTATGTAACTATATATTATATATACATATATTATATGTAAATATATTGTATATATTTATAAGTTATAATTTAAGAGAGAGAGAATCGCATAAGTAACCATGTAGTCGTTGCTCGTTGGGCCAATGAGGAAGTAACTGTTGTAATATACTATACTTATATACTAAGAGAGAGAGTATACACACACACACATATATAAAAGAGTATACTTATATAATAGGGAGTATACATATATAAGAGAGAGTATACATATATAAGAGAGAGTATACTTATATATACATATATACTAAGAGAGAGAGAGAGAGTATACTTATATATACATATATACTAAGAGAGACAATTCATGATAACTACCTGAACTTCGGGGTGTCTCACAAAAAAAAATACCCTTCAACTTTGAAGTTGTGTCCAAGACCTCCTCACATGTAGTTTGAAAATAAATAAAGTTTACTCAAGAGGCATTAAAACAAAAAACAAAAAAAATTATGTTTTGAACAACCATGGCGTTTTTGCCGTTTCTGTTTTTGTTTTCAACAAAAACAATAAAACGCGTTTGGCAACCGGGACGTTTTTATGACTTGACCCTTTACAAAATCAAAAAATTAAACACTTTTCTCAAAACACCAAAAATATGTTTTGAGATTCCGTTTTTTCATCTAAGTCGTCGCCGCTCGCTTGCCCGCCGC